CAATGCAAATCCTAGAACACTAAGATATAAAACGTTTGATACATGCTTTGGCAAGAATCAGATGTAGTTCAGAATAAAGGGTGAGGGTAGGTTTCAATATCTTATTAAGAACTAATTATATACATAGTTATTATAAAGTAGGACTCAAGTGTCTGGGATAGTCACAGCCAAAAGTCACTTGCTGAATGGTGTTAAGAATAAGTGTTGAGGGGCTGGAGACATGGCTCAGTGGTTAAGAACACTTCCAGAGGACCAGTGTTCAGCATGTACATACGTGGGAGCTCACAACTAACTCTACAGTTCCGGAGGACCTGACTGACACCCTTACACAGGTCAGACACCAATGCACATAAAAATAATTAAAATTTAAAAACGAATCACTGACGAAACATGAAATCTACTTTTCTGTGTGATTGTTGGGTTTAAAGACACTTTAAATGTAAAAGCTAAGTGCCAAGTTATCAGTCTTTCCTCTCAAAAAAAATTTTTGTTTTTGAGACAGGGTTTCTCTGTGTAGCCTCTCTGAGGAGAGACTTGCTCTGCAGACCACTCATCTTTTTTTTAAAAAAAATTAAATTATGTATATGTGTTATGTGTCTGTGTGGTATGTGCACATGCCTATAGGTGCTCATGGCAGTGAGAGACATTGGTTCCCCCGGAACTGGAGTTACAGGCGGCTATGAGCCATGACATGGGTGGTAGGAATTGAACTTGGGTTCTCTGTAGCAGGATGTGCTCTTAACAGCTGAGTCATCTCTCTAGGCTCCTTATTTTGTTTTTCGAAACAGGGTTTCTCAAGTAGCCCTGGCTGTTCTGGAACTCGTCATGTAGACCAGGCTGGTTGTGAATTCACAGAACTCTGCTTGCCTCTGACTCCCAATGCTGGGATTAAAAGTATCTGCCACCATGCCCAGCTGGTGATCAGTTTTTCAAAGGTACAGTGCACTCATGGCTCTGGCACCTTGGGAGACAGTCACGGCTTTCTGTCCTTACCTCCTGAGGGCTGGAGTGAGGCCAGAGGACACTGGGCGTCCTGCTCTGTCACTCTCCACCTTACTCCTCCAAGCTCTCTAAACCTGGAGCTCACCATTCTTCAGCTCAGCTGGAAGGTCAGCCAGTCCCCAGACCCTCTTCTCTCCGCTTCCTCTCATTTGCTGTCCCACATGGCACAACAAACTTCATGTGGGGCAGGGGAACCAAACTTGCTGGTGAGCCATCTCCCCAGCCTGATTTTCATTTTTTTTTTTTGAAAGTATGTGAGAAAGAGTGTCTTAGGAACTTAAGAATCTAATAGGAAGGAGTGGTAGGACATGTTCAATAAAAAGCCATAAGAGCCAGTGACAGTTCCCATAAGAAGTGGATAAGGAACTCAGAGGAGGGAATGAACAACTCTTTTCTGGCAACTTCAATGGCATTTTAACTGGTTCTTAAACAATGAGTGGATTTGGATGTGTGGGCAGAGAGGAATACCACACACAATAGAAAGAGGTGGAAGCAAGCCAAGTAGTGTCTGGAGAATGAACAGGGGTTAGCAGCATGGCTGCGTTTGCTGAGGGCACATAATAAGAAATGGTACCTGCTCGACATTGCTCATATCAAGCCAGTCTTGATCTTCCAGCTCTACCGCCATTTCTTCCAAATACACACAACGGCTGGGGATGCCATTCCCGCTTTTCAAGTTTGGATCACCTGTGAAACAGTTTTAATTTGATGGGTTAAGGATAATGTTCCTGTGCTCATGACACTGTTTTTTTTGTTTTTTTTTTTTGTTTTTTTGTTTTGCCTCTTTGAGACAGGGTCTTGCAATGTTGCCTAGGCTGGTCCTTAACTTTTAGGCTCAAGTAGTCTCTCCTGCCTCAGCCTCCCCAGTCGTGGAGACTAAAGGCATGTACAGCTGTGCTCAGCTTCCAGCAACTGATCTCGACAGCAAGTCTCCTGAATTCACTACAGTGATCTCGATACACAAAGGAGCTATACAGCATACTGTTATGGACCCTCAGTATGACATTTAGGAAGAAAATTCCAGATACTAGCATTAACTTTAGGGTTGAATTACAGACAGGGCACAGAGGCAAAACACATCTGGACCTCTCAGCATCCATGGAAGAAGAAAATGGAGTTAGCTACTCTCTCTACTTCCTTTTAATGGTAGTACAGACATGTAGTCACACAGCCCAGTAAGTACCAAAATGGCAAAAGAAGTTAGATCTGTAGAAATACTGTTTGTTTGTTTTTTTGAGACAGGGCTTCCTTGTGCAGTCCTGGTTGTCCTGGAACTCACGCTGTAGACCAGGCTGGACTTGAACTCAGATTCACCTGCCTCTGCCTCGCAAGTGTTGGGATGAAAAGTTGTGCCGCTACCTTTTGGCTGTTTTTAAATAATTAAAAAAAAAAAACTTACTAAACTAAACCCCGTGTTCTAGGGAGGTCAGGGGTGGTTTTAACCATTAGACACAGCAATTTTCTAAGAGCCAAAGTATTCCCTAGAGCAAGCCAAGAGGGAAGAACAGACAATCAATTGGTGGGTGTAAGTCCGCACGCAACTCACTGTTGTCCAGAGTAATGAGGAAGATCCTTTGGATCATGTGATTGATGTTGAGTTGCTCACATATTTCTTGCTGTGACCGGAAGGAGCGGCTAATCTCAGACACAGAGTAGTCAAATTCATCCAGGCTCTCCGACACACTATTATCCGAATCATCTGGGCTTGCTGGGAGCTCATCTAGCAGAACACATAAGCTGTTACACAGTATGCTCCTCCCTTAGGACAAAACACACTACCTAGAATGAATGTAGCCGCCAGAACAACTGCAGGTGTGAAACATTCATCTCACTAGGGAGCAACTCAAGCCAGGCAAGTGAGTGTAGGCTTCTGAAACTGGCCTTCTATACAGTAAGCTTTATTTCTTCTACCCATAGTTGTACCCCACTCTGCTAAAATTAGCAACATTATCCAACTTTTTTACAGAAAAAATGATTATATCAAATAGATCAAATGACAGTAATTATTTTAAACGTATGGTCTTTCCTTGGAGAATACATTTGTTCTGGTAATTTTGCACTCAGGAATATATCCTGCAGAAGGGCTTGTCAAACCGGTACCTTATAGATAGCTGCTTAATTCTGCAGTGCTCCAGACTCTTGTGCTAGCGTTCATTACCATTGTTTTTTATTTAAAGAATCGCTATGCTTTTCAGCTGCCTTTCCTCGTCTCTTTGACATTTATTTTTGTGTGTGGGGAACGTGTCAGTGTGCACCTGGAGGTCAGAGGCGGTCTGTAGCAACCAGTTTTCTCCTCCTATATGGGTCGTGGGGACTGAACTCAGGTCATCAGACGAGGTGGCAGGCACCTTTAGCTGCTAAGCCATCTATCTCATTAGGATCATTTTTTAATGATGCATTTTAATGATGTGTATGTATGCATTGTGTGGAAATATGCATGCTGAGCCATCTCTCCATGTTTTTTGTTAGTTTAATGACAGATTTGTACCATACTTTAGAATATTTTTTAATCATTTACTTATTTTCGTATGTGTGTGTGTATGTTTATGTGCCATGACATGCACTTGGAGATCTCAGAACAACTTGAGGGAGTTCTTTTTCTCCTTCCACGATGTAGTTTCCAAGGATCAAACTCAGGTCATCAGGACTGGAAGCAAGTGCCTTTACCCACTGAGTAATCTTACCAGCCTTTCAGCCGGCTTTAAAGATTTTATATACATACATACATACATACACACATTTACATGCACGTATGTGTGTGTTTTGTCTATATGTACACTTGCACATCAGAAGAGGGCAACAGATCCCATGGTACTAGTTATAGATGGTTGTGAGCTGCCATGTGGGTGCTAGGAATTGAATCCAGGACCTCTGGAAGAGCAGCCAGTGCTCTTAACCACTGGGTCATCTCTCTAGCTTCTCAACTGGCTTTAAAAAATTATTTTTTTTTTGGTATAGGTGCTTTGTCTGAATGTATGTATATGCAATGCATGTGTGTGCCTTATGGCTGAAGAAGTAAGAGATGGCATTGAAGCCCCGGAACTGGAGTTGCCGATGGGCATAAGCCACCATGTGGGTGTTGGGAACCAAACTCAGGCCATTTGCAAGAGCATCACATGCTCTTTAACTGCTAAGCCATCTCTCCAGCCCTTCCTGTGAGTCATTCAGAGGCCTTCTTCATTCCACTTACTGTGTTTGTGTTTTCTGAAACAGGGTCTCCTGTTGTCCACACACTCCCTATAAGGATGATCTTGAATTTGTAATCCCCTTCTCTCCACCACCAAATTACTAGGATCAAAGGGATACACACACACCTTCTTTCATGTTGCACCTGGGATTAAGCCCAGATTTTGTGCTTGGTTGGCAAGCACTCTACCAACTGAACTATATCCCCAGCCCCCCCCCCTTTTTTTTGTTTTTGATATAGTGTCTTAAATTGCCCAGGCCAGCCTGAAACTATGTCGGGGAGGATGGCCTGACCTTCTGATCCTCCTGCCTTACCCTCCTGAGTAGCTGAGATTATAGGCCAACACTAGCTGGCCCAGCCCATCTCATTTCTTTTAACAGTTGTGCAGTAATGTACTTTTTGCCTTTACTATGACTTATGTAGTCACTTAAACTCCATGTTTATTCATCAGATGAACATGAGACCTGTTCCAGAGTTTCATGATCTTAAGAGATACAGCACTGAGTGTAATCTGATTGTTTTTGTTCACGTGGGTGAGACTGCTCAGCAGGTAAGAGGCACTTGCGCCAAGCTTGGTGCCATGCGTTCAATCCTAGGAACCCACATGGTGGGAGGAGAGAACTGAACACAGCGAGGTATTCTCTGACCCACACATATACACACACTAAATGAACGCAATACAAAAACTTTTAAAGAGCTTAAGTATTTTTAAAAAGTTAACAGAAGTTATTCTCGAAGAGACTGATTTTATCTACACAACTAGCTAGGAGTATGAGAAGATGTCTCCTAATTTTAATAAAATGTGATCTAGTTACAGAGGCGGCATGGAAATAGAGGAATCTACACTCAAACAAGGCACGTGTGGAGGAAAGGTCTACAGAACTACAAGACAGGTCAAGAAAAACGTGAAGGGAACTGGGCACCGCTACCCTTCTATACGGAGAAAAATGATCACAGCATGAACTTCAGGTGCCAGAAGACACCTTTCTTAACCGGCTTGCACTGAGAACCAATTCCTGAATCAACTCAGCATGGCCTACAGAGGAGGAGGTGGGCATGGCCAGCCCCCCTCAGTGACCCCTTCCCAGTTTAGCCCTGGAAGTCTATCCACCAACAGCAGCACAACACATAATATATGCATGGTGTCTGACTTTTTCTACCCAAACATGGGAGGTGTGGAAAGCCACATTTACCAGCTCTCTCAGTGCCTCATCGAGAGGGGGCACAAGGTCATAATCGTCACCCATGCTTACGGAAATCGAAAGGGCATCCGTTACCTCACCAACGGCCTCAAAGTTTATTACTTGCCTCTCAGAGTCATGTACAACCAATCTACAGCCACGACTCTCTTTCACAGTCTGCCATTGCTCAGGTACATATTTGTGCGGGAGAGAGTTACCATAATCCATTCCCACAGTTCTTTTTCTGCCATGGCCCATGATGCTCTCTTCCACGCCAAGACAATGGGGCTTCAGACAGTCTTCACAGACCATTCCCTTTTCGGATTTGCTGATGTCAGCTCGGTGCTCACAAACAAGCTTCTAACTGTGTCGCTTTGTGACACAAACCACATCATTTGTGTCTCTTATACAAGTAAGGAAAACACTGTCCTACGAGCAGCATTGAACCCTGAAAGAGTGTCTGTCATTCCTAATGCTGTGGATCCTACTGACTTCACCCCAGGACCACTTCGCAGGCATGACAGTGGGATAACTATTGTTGTCGTGAGCAGACTTGTTTACAGAAAGGGGATCGACCTGCTCAGTGGGATTATACCTGAACTCTGTCAGAAATATCCCGAGTTAAATTTCCTAATTGGAGGAGAGGGACCAAAGAGTATAGTTTTGGAAGAAGTACGGGAAAGATACCAACTACATGACAGGGTACATCTTTTGGGAGCTTTAGAACACAAGGATGTCAGAAATGTCTTAATTCAAGGCCATATTTTTCTTAATACCTCCCTGACCGAAGCCTTCTGCATGGCAATCCTGGAAGCCGCCAGCTGTGGTCTACAGGTTGTCAGCACCAAGGTTGGTGGGATTCCCGAAGTCCTTCCAGAGAATCTTATTATTTTATGTGAACCTTCAGTAAGATCTTTGTGTAAAGGGCTGGAAAAAGCTATTTTCCAAGTGAAGTCGGGGATGTTACCAGATGCAGAAAATATCCACAACGCAGTAAAGGCTCTCTACACCTGGCGGAATGTGGCGGAGAGAACCGAGAAGGTGTATGAGAGGGCGGGGAAGGAAGCCGTGCTGCCGATGCATAAGAGGCTGAACAGGCTCATCTCTCACTGCGGCCCACTTACAGGCCACAGCTTTGCTTTGTTGGCTGTGTTCAGCTATCTTTTCCTCATGTTCCTGAGATGGATGACTCCCGATTCGGTCATTGATGTGGCAATAGATGCCACTGGGCCGAGGGGAGCGTGGGCTCATGAGTGTCCTCATGACACAAAAGGAGACGAGACTGACAAGGTATCCAAAGGCAGGTGGAAGTGAGTCTGAACTGTAAACTTTGGCAGTTCTATTAACACAGTTGAAAATAACCTTGTTCTTTTGTTTTTGAGCTTTGACTTTGACTTGATTCTGCTTTTTAAGTCCTAGGGACCAGTACCACTGCTGATACTAGTGTAGGCTTAAAAACTGACTTATTGTTGTGTGTGTAAGACATGTATGTAGGTTAGAACAATGTTTCTATATACAGACCCTGATTATAACTGTCAGTGTATGTGGAAACACATCGTTCCACCCAGCTACTTACAATTTAAAGTGAAGTGAACATTGAAGAATTTTCTAATAAGACTGCATTTTTTTTTTGTTTGTTTTTGTTTTTCGAGACAAGATTTCTCTGGGTAACAGTTCTGGCTGTCCTAGAACTCACTTTGTAGACCAGGCTGGCCTCAAACTCATAGAGATCAGCCTGTCTCTACCTCCCAAGTGCTGGGATTAAAGGCATGCACCACCATCACCCGGCTGTATTGCTTTTTAAAAAAATTGCAATGCTTTTGATGTTATAGTTATACACATAAACCAAGGCTGTTAAAATATGTTTATGACCAAAAATAAAGATGAGAATGACATTTTAAACAAAAAACAAAAATGTAATTGTTTAAGTTTTTATTACATTTCTTTAGCGTGTGTATGTGTGGTTGGTTGCATGCTTGCTACAGAACACATGCATGGTCAGAGAACACCTTGCTGTAATCTTCTTTTTCTACCATGAGGGTTCCAGGGACCGAACTCAGGACATCAGGCTTGGAAACAGGTGCCTCCAGTCACTGAGCCATCTCGACAGCCCCTAACTGTAGTTTTAATGGGCATTTTCCTATAGATTAGTAAGACTGGAATTTTTATCATTTGGCATTTAAATTACTGTCACATCTTCTAGTTCTTTCCTACCTTTTTATTCTTATCAACTGACATTCTTTAATGTTTTATGTTTTATAGGTGGACAACTTTCTTTTTTTTTTTTCTCCCTGCTCCAAGCCAGGGTTTCTCTGCATAGCCCTGGCAGTTCTGGAACTTGCTCTGTCGACCAGGCTGCCTTCAAAGTCAGAGATCTGTCTGCCTCCACCTCCTGAGTGCTGGGATTAAAGGTGTACGCCTCCAATACCCGGCTGACTTCTTTTCTTTCTTGACAAAGTGGTATTCTGAAAATCTGGACCAAACTCTCAGAAATAAGAGATGTTTCCCTGTGTAAGTTTGGCAGATTTGAAGACCAGCATAGGAGGCCAAAGGTTCTGGCAGAATACTGACTGATGGTGACAAACAGGTTGGGCCAGGTGGCACGAGGAACCCAGTGTAAACAAACTGAGGTGAGGAGGTCCCAAGCCAGTAAGAACGGCATGTTCTTGCCTTATTCCTACAGTTTGCCGCTCACAGTGCTCTCAGCTCCAGCCTGCTCACAGCCAGCGAAGAAGCCTTGCGCTTACTTCTCTAGGCCCACCCACCAGCTCTTCTGCCCCTGCCTGCTGCTTCTCCCTCCTGTCTATTTGATCCGAATCGCAAAGCAAGGCCAAACTCGGCAGTGGACCTGAACTATACTTTTTAAATAAATGAAGGGAAAGTGTAAACCATCTCTCCTTTTATCAAAAGAAAAAAAAACCCACACTATTTTTGGGGAAGGAGGAGGCATTTCTAGCTTGAATCAATGTGACTCTCCCAGGAGACAATGTGTTTCAGAAATATTCTAATCCCTCTGATCTAGCTCCAAAGAAAGAAGCTGTACTGGATCTTAAATTCAGTTCCAAATGAGGAAAGCCATTTTTCTGGCTATTGAGAGATTATTCTGAGGGTTTTTTTTTCATATTAAAACTAAGGATTAGATTTTTAGCAGTCTGTCCTAACAGCAGTGAGTTACAAGGGAGGGGACACTCAGCAGAACCAAAGATACACTTCACCCAAGAATTCTTACTTCTTACAAAGTGCTCGGTTAAGAACAATCCTTTTTTTGTTTGTTTGTTTGTTTGTTTTTTGTTAAAATATCAGAAAACATTTATGATTCTTTTATATATGGTTTCTACAACTGCATGCAGCTGGCTCACCACACCGCTTTGATTTCCTATGTTAAAAAGCTACTACTAGACAATTTCTTTCTCCTTTAATGAAACAACCTGACAGTTTGGGATCACAGCTGCCATCTGCCCCTGTGGAACCACCTGTCAGCCAAGCTCTTTTTACATGAGTGAGTGGACAGCACAGGGAAGTCCCTTAAGCAAAACAAGTCATGAAAACCAACAACAAACCAAGACAGACAGACAGACAGACAGATAGAAAATAAAAGCAAAATAACTTCTGCCCCAAACTTAAGTTCTAATTGCGGTTAATTTTCTAAAGAATCCTTCCTCTGGGAAGACCCGGTTCTAGGTCGTGGCATCTGCTGCTATTGGCTCCTCTACTTACCAGATTGCTGCTTCAGCTGCTCTTTTTGGATTGCTGCAAACTGCTTGGCATCAGCCAGGGAGCCAAAAAGAGCAGCAAAGGGGTTACTTGAGATGTTGTTGTTATTCTCCTGGTCTGTCATTTCACTTTAAGGTATCCTCCATCCAGCCCTGGGGGAGGGGCTATGCAAAGGACAGGAGTTAGATTCAGAAGGGCAGAAAACACAATCACTGTAGTATACCCACCATTGTTTCTCTTCCCATTTCTTGAGCACTATGCCTTTGAAAATGCTTTGAAGTTAAGACATGCCAATTCCTGTTCACAAACTCAAGACATATTTGGTAAGATGGTTACAAACCTACCAACTGGACTCAAAAGGCTTAACAGTCAGTGATTGCAATTCTTCATCAACTGTAACCATAAGCCTGAGACATACCACAAGAATTATGGATTTCTCATAAGTTTTTAAGCTGGCAGACTAGTCTTCATTCACATGCAGAGAACAAGGTGGTACCTGCCAAGACCGCTACAAAGCGCTGAAGCTGGGAATTCCTTAGCTACACATGAACCCAGTGTAGACCCTTTTCTAAAAGGGGGCGGTGACACACACTCAAGTTCACTATGTAGCTGAGGAGAACCTTGAACTCCTAATCCCGCAAACACTTAAATGCTAGGATTACAAGCATGAAACACCATGCATGTCTTCACACTCAGATTTGGATGCTGAATCAAGGCCAGAATAGGATTAGCTGTATGTTTGTAGGTCTCTCATGTGTATTAAGTAACCTAATTCTACTGATAGATTAAAACTACAGACTTGGAGCTAGAGAGATGGCTCATTGATTCAGAGTACCAGCTGCTCTTCTAGAAGACTTAGGTTCAATTCCCAGCACCCACATGGCAGCTTACTACTGTCTGTAACTCCAATCCCAGGGCATCTAATGCCCTCTTTTGGCCTCCACAGTCACCAGACATGCACATGGTACACAGAGATAAGAGCAGGCAAACACCCCACACACATAAATAAAAAACTAATAAAAACAAAAACAAAATTACAGAACCTTTTTCAACTAAAATTTATCATTCTTATTTGATGTTTTTCTTTTCTGTCAAGATGGGATAGGATCTCACTATAAAGCCTAGGTTGACCTTGAACTCATAATCCCCCTGCCTCAGCCTTCAGAGTGCTGTTACTAGTATTCCTATACTAATTTTTACTGCTTATCTATTTTTTTATATTTAAAAAACAAATTCAACTGTCAGGTAGACTGTCTAACATAAAACAGATATACCACCTCAAAGATGAGGGGACAGGATAGGGAGGAGGAAGAAGATTCGATCTACTTTTAGTTAATTAGTCTGTATAAAGCCAAAGCTCTCCTGGAACTTGACGGCTGGCTTCAAACTTATGCTCCTCCTGTCTCTGCCTCCTGGGTGCTAGAATTACAGGAGTGTATCACCATTACATGGTCTTTCTAAGGCTGGCCTCCTTTCTCAGCCTCCCCAGTGCTGAGATTATAGGAACAAATCACCATGCTTAGCTTACCTTCAGTTCATGGAAGTAAGGTCCCTTACAAAATCATATTAACAAAAGTTAGTACAAATTGGAAAAGTTACCCTTAATTACTGGAGGAAGAGAGCTTATATCACTTCTTGGCACTTCTGAGGTATTTCTATGAGTTGCTTCATGGTTTCTCTTAAATTTCCTGCACCAGAGTTAAAAGCTAATTAACCATAGTGACAGCTAGCCAGTCTCACTTCCTCTTAGGATGGTCCAGGGCTTTCCTACTACTCTAAGGAAATGAACTCTTAGATGCTGCTTTCCTTTCCTTTTTTTTTTTGCCATGTATATTTAGTTGAGCTTAATAGAAAATATCACATTTTATGTTGGACTTTCTCCTATGCAGCCACTGGATAAGCTTAGCTCATCTCTAATTCATATGATGCCATATTAAACTGTTTCGTTGTTGGCTCACTATCACTGGTGCTCCACCAAGGTATCCCCAACTCTAAAAGATGGCAAAAAGTATAGTGAACTCTTGTTATCTTGTCTCTGGTATAGTACCATCTTTTTCCTCAACATGACACCCTTGGTTTTTCCTCTGAGTATCAATTCCACTCAAGACATATGTCCAGATGTGTTGATCTCATCCACCAGCTCCAGGAAAGGGCATAGAGAACAAAGTGAATGATCCATGAATGGGCAAAAGATCCTATCAAGGGTTATAGGAATCAGTGAACATTGTCTTTGGACTTCTGGCTAAATCTATTGAGAAGGGAACTCTTCCTTCTTGGGTTGCTAGGCTAGTAAAACACAAGCCTAGAGCTGTCATCTTTATACCATCTAAAAAATGGCTACCCCCAAATTAAGTTACCATACAGGAAAACAGAACTTTCCAGACGTCTCAGTTATAGAAGCCAACAAATTGCATATGCCAGTTTGAAGTGTGTGTGTATGTACGTGTATGTACAGGTGTGTGGCATATATGTACATACATATATGTATGGAGGCCAATGGAAGATGCTGGGGTCTCTATTTTATCAGTCTCCTTATTCACTTGAGACAGGATCTCTTACTGAACCTGGAGCTGAGATGACGGCCAGCGAGCACCACCAATTCTCCCATCTCTGCTCCCCATAGTGCTAGGGTTACAGGGGTACATGTGGACACATCTAGCTCTTTAAATCGAGGATTTAAACTCAGGTCCTCATGCTTGAATATCAATAGCTCTTACCCATTAAGTCATTTCCAGGCTTTTGCTGTTAACTGAAGCAGGGTCTCACTGTGTTGCTCAGGCTGGCCTTGAACTTATAGTGATTCTTCTGCCTTAGTCTCCAAGTGCTAAGATTAGAGGCACAGATCACCATGTCTGGCTTGAGTAAAATTTTTTTAAATTTATTTATTTATTTATTTATTTATTTATTATGTATACAATATTCTGTTTGTGTGTATGCCTACAGGCCAGAAGAGGGCACCAGACCTCATTACAGATGGTTGTGAGCCACCATGTGGTTGCTGGGAATT